GGAGGCGGGGCGGGGCGGGGCGGGGCTCCCCCCGCGGCCTGGCCCTGCAGCGCCGCTCTCAGTGGCTTCCGCGCTAATGGGAACGCGGCCTTCCGCGGGGATACCGCCTAGCCAGGGCAGCTGCAGCCGGCAGACAGGCTTGAAGGAGTGCTGAGTGCCGTGAGCACAGCTAGTGCTGCTCCGTAATTGTATCAAGTGTGGTTCTTTAGGAAATACTTCCGAAATACTTACCTTTATTTATCAGGCAGAAACGATTGATACTATTTGCAACCTTTTAAAGGAAGAGGTAATTTATACTACTTAAAAAAAGGCTAGTTTATAATAACACTACTTTAAAAAGGACCCATTGGTGCATTGGGCTGGGCTGAACCTGAATTCCAAATCTAGAGTTGATGTATTAGAATAAATTAGCAGTATTCACATCCATAGCCATAAAACATGAACTTAGTAATGTGCAAAAATGTGTGTTTGCATTTAAGCAACAGAACACATAGCTTAACTTTTGTGCTCATTATATTTGTTTAAGTGCAACATCAAAGCTTTTCCTCTTTGCTGTCCGTCTCACTCCATTTTACCTGTATTAAAGACCTAGGATTAGGATATTGGGATCCTGCAGGCGATCTGGACATGTGCTGCCATAATTCAGCTTGCATTAGTCACTGGGGCACTTTCTCAAGCATACTGGACAGTAATAGAACTAGGACTCTATTGAAACAAGCCCTCTCCTGCAGATAATGGTTTGCTGAATAGTATTATAATTAGCTGGCTGCTGGATTCTTTTCAGAGAAAGTCTCTACTTATAAACAAAGGAAAAGTTTCTATTTACAGAGAATTTTGCATAATAGAAATCTATTTATAGGATATTTTTTCTGCAGATTAAGATTTTTTTTTTTGTGATTGATCTTCAGTGACTTGCAGCAGAGTTAAGGTACTAGAATTTAATTTTAGAAACAAAGAGGTGTGTTTGGGAGAAGAAAAATACAGATAATCCCATTTTGAAACCACTGCGGGCTTGTGTGTATTCTTTTAAATATCATAGAGACAAATATAAAGGAAAGCTTTATAGTATTCCAGGTATCTTTGGGAGCCTGGCTTAACATTCTTCTATTTGTCTCCTGTTTATTTTGTTGCTGATGAATGTGGTGAAAAGGGAGTATACCTTATGGAAAATAGTGATGTTATATATGCCGTTTTACATACGGAAAGAATCAGAACAGTTTGTATCTTGGTGATCCAAACACCCTTGTCCTGACCAGGAATTTCTCCAGCTGCAACTGGAGTTCAGGATTTCCAGAAACCTTATTAGGAGCCTTCTGGAAAGGAATTCGAAACTAGATAGATACAGTGCCTAAAAGGAAACAGCTCTGTGTCTAAATGTATGTGCTAATGCTCCAGGAAATTTCAGAGTAAAAACTTTCACTTCTTTTCAGTTCTTTTAGATGTTCAGCTCTAATTGCGAGGTACTTTGACAAGTGAAGACAAAGTTTGCAGTCTTGCCTGAGTCTCTTTATACAGGAGTTAATCAGCTGCTTACTCTTTTCCATTTCAGTTATTCCTCCTTGCCTTAGACAAGGAGAGACTATCCCAAGCATGGCCGTGGCTTCATAATGCTTGGGATTGACTTACTGTTTTCAAGGTATGCCTGAGTCCAGAGAATTGGAGAAGAGGCTGGAGGCAACAGCTGTAAGGTGTTTTTATCTGTAAGACCCCCTAAAGTCTGTAGGATTCCCTCTGCTTAAATCCCTGTCACTTTCTTTGTTTACCATATCAGTGTTTAGCTAAAGCTATCACAGAAAGCACAGTTAGTTTTCCATTAACTGTAATTGATCATGAAATATCTACAATTCCTCCAGCATTTGATGGATGTCCATGATGTAAGTCTTAAGGATTTATACTGTTAGAAACTAAAGCTTGTAGAGGGCAGACTAAGAGATGTGCCTTAACTGCTTCCTTCATGAGCTTTTTGCCTAAACTTGTCTCTTTTGTGAGAAGAAAATAAAAGGTATAAGAAGGACTCTTCTAGCTGTGAAAGGGAACTTGATGTCTCAGGAAGAGTCTTAAAAGTTGGGTAAGAAAAATGATGGAGAGATTTTTCTGTTGTTCAGAATTGGCATACATTGGAGAATACTTTTCAAGCATGCTACTTAAACCATTTGAGTTCAAGGATTGGATGAAATGCCATGCTTTCCTCTGGCAGTAGTTAGCAGTGGGAACAAAAGTACTGGCTTCCCTCTGCTACTAGCACTGATCGTACTTGAGTGAACCACTCCTACAGGGTAAATCTTTAAATCTCTCCTTCACTCAAGGCTATCAAGACAGTACTTTGTGCACATAAATCTGAACTAAAACAGCCACGTAACTTTATTTTTATGCACTGAATAGACAATGAGAACAAGCCTGAAGTTGGACAAAGTTGCTGGATTAGCAACCACCTGGGAATGCGCTAACACAAGACAGATTGTTGCACCACTGGCTTTAGCTTCAAATTTGCAACTTCTGTCACGGGCTAGGTAGGTTGGACTGAGACTACTGTTTAAGTCCAGTTAAAAAAATACATGCAGATGAAATTTAAAAGCCCTTGCTGTGTCCCTTGCAAACATGAGGGCTTGTTGTGTTCCTCCCGTATTGTAAATCACTGTTGTAGCTGATGTGTCAGGTTCTTCGAGCGGCTTTGTCATAGGCCTTGATAGTTTAAATTAGTAGTGCTGCTTTAAAGGTTGGCACACCCTTTGTCTCCAACAGTTGTTGCATCAACAGTTGTCAACGTTAACCTAATTTTGAAGCTCTGGCAGGTCCACTTTCACCCAGTATTTTTACATTCCATTTAAGTGTAGGATAGTATGACTGTTCTATCCCAACCTCCAAGGAACAGCAGGACTTACAAAATGACAGTCTGGCTCATGTTTTATGTGCCTGTGTGGAGCAGGGCCTCCTTGTTGCTGTCATCATCACGGAAGGGTTAAGCAGCACAGAAGTGCATGTGCCATTTCAGGTGACTTCTTAGTAGCTGATGCTTGGCCTTTGTAAGCTGCTGCCTAGCTGTGAGGCAGTACGGAGTGTAGGCAGTAGGTTGTAAGGATTGGTTTTTAGCAAATCATATTTGCTACATAGGTCTTGATCCTAAATCTGGCATCAGATCACAGGGAATCATTTAATGGTTGAGGGTGGAAGAGACCTCTAGAGATCATCTAGCGCAATCCTCCTGCACCAGCAGGGACACCTAGAGCACGTGGCACAGGGTGGCATCCAGCCAAGGTTTGAAGATCTCCAGAGAAGGAGACTCCACAACCTCCCTGGGCAGCCTGTGCCCTCTGTCACCCTCACAGGAAAGTAGTTCTTCCTCACATGGAGATGGAACTGCCTGTGTTTCAGCTTTTACCCGCTACCCTTTGTCCTGTCACTGGCCACTACTGAGAAGAGTTTGGCCTCACCCTCTTTACATTCTCCCCTCAGGCACATGTTGATAAGATCCCCTCCCAGTCTTCTATTAATGATTTTTCTGTCATCGTTCACATTTCTCTTAAGGCGTAGGTTCTGGAGTTGATTGTGTGTCTTGAGTTATATCTTGGTACTTCATGGATGCCTTCGTCCTTTGGTAGCTTATGTTCTTGTTAGCTAATTCTAATGTCTACATTAGAATATATATATATTCTATAGGAATAATGTGTCAATGCTAGTTTACATGTACAGAGCATGCAATCCGAAGTAGTGCTCTCTCTTACTGAAGTCTAATGAGAAATAAGCTTTCACGTTTTGGTATGTAGAGCTAGTCAAGCTATCCAACTGTTGTAAGCAGATTGCCCTGAACAGTGTTCAGGAGAGCTGATGTGTGACTGTTTTTTCATAAAAACACAGGACAAACATCAGAATATTTGTGCACCTCAGTTACTTGCTCGTGGTCATTAACTGGTTATCCAGTAGCAAATTTCAGCACGTATTGCCAAAATAATACCAGCATGGCATGTCTTGTTCAGCCATCTATGCTAACAGAAGGCAGAGTCTGAACATTTGCTGTATGTAGATTAGCTGAGATTTGCTCAGTAGTTGCACAGAACAGTATCCTTGCTGAGCAGTATGGCACTCTGTTCGGGTCATTTGGTGCCCAGTTCTCGTGGATATAAAGACACCTCAGGTGGTAGGTGTTTTCTTGCATATAGTACTTGCTTTTAGCCCCGTGGGGAATGAGGTCTCAGCTGCAAAACTGTCGTAGGTCAGAAGAACAGGCAATTTTTAAAGTGCACTTTCACCTTGTTTCACGTTCAAGGAGAAATGTAGTTAATCCTCTAGCCAGTCCCAGAGATTTGCGTGATTACCAAATTAATTATCTGGCAACTCATTTGGGACCATTTTTCTTCGCTATGTTTTAATCGTTATCAGCTGAACAATCTACTGCAGGAAATCTTACACATGAAAGTCTTAGAGCAGCAAAGGAACTTATGCAGGAATTAACCTTACATATGTTGTGCAAATCCCATTTATTTATTGACAACTAAGTACAATTAGCACTATATTGCACGGGCATCGACAGAAACCCCTTAGCGCTATACAACAGTTTTAAAAGGCTTGTGTTTTATGCTGTGTCCGGCACTGAAGAAGCTGGTGACATTCCCTTGTGTTACTCATAATAGTAGTTGGCCCTCTAGACTGGGTAGAGTTCCTTTGCTGACCATGTTTCCACTCACCTCTGTATTACAGCTGTTCACTCTACGTGTTTATTTTAGTCAATCACGAGTGCTTGGGGTAGGACTATCACACTAACTAACCTCAAATGTGAAATATCTTAATGCAGCTTCAGCAGTGGAACTGTAGGTCACACAGAAGCAAACTTTGTAGGCAGTAAGCTGTGAAATAAAGTTACGACTGCTCTAGATACTCTCCTGTCTGCCTGCCACCTGCATTCCAGTGTGTTATCAATGTCATCCACAAAATATACATGCATATATTTTTGGTTTAATGTGCTAGGTAAAAACAATAAATGTTTTTTTAACATATCGTTTTAACAGATATGATATTTTTACAGATATCATATGTAAAATTAGCATAAGCTCCAAGTTGTCAGGATTTGTGTAAATGCGTATATGAACTATGTAATTTTTTTGCAGCTGGAGCTTTCAAATGCAGATGTGGTTCAGCCCATACACAGTGTGCTATCATAGATCGAGCAGTATCCATTCTACTTGTATACTTGCATAGCAGAAATCTTTAGTTCTTCTCTGCCGTGAGCTGAGAGGAATAAAAAAAACTCTTTGAAATAAATTTTATTTCAAAATTTCTCCTTTTAAAAACTTCTAGAGTTGTTAAAATGCCATTTCATTAGCATGCAACTTTTTTTTTTCTTTCCTCATTGCAGGTTTGATGTTATGATCAGAATTTATTAGAAATTTGATGTGTGATGTGATGCTTTGGTCTAGAGGAATTTGCTGAGGCTCTCTACTGAATGACTAGAGGTTGGCACAGGTTTTATCCTGCGGAAGCAAAACATGCTCTGTATTTAAAGTCAGATTGATCTGAAACCTGAAGTTACTGACACTCAGTGTAAAACACAAAGTATATACTTAATTAGATGAAATAGCTAAAATGTTTGTCATTTTGTACTCAGACAATGTGTAGTACTGTGCAGAGGCACGTAGATGTGTCTCTTAATCAACTTAGTGCTGCTGCTGAGGTGGTGATGAAACTTGGATTAACAGCAAGCACAGGCCATGCTTGCTGCCTTTATGCTCATCGAGGTCCTAAATGAGTTGTGTGTACTATACTCTAATGGATTGTCATGTTTCTACTCAAAATAGATGCTTTAAAGGTGATTTAGGAAAGTCAAGCAAGCTGTAGTTGAGACATCTTTAAAAGTCGGAAGAATTAAAAAACTGCAAGGGATTTTTGAAACCTTTTGACACATACTGCCTGTTGTGTTAGGCTTGAGCCCTTGGAACCAAACAAGGTAAACAGACTTGTGTGCTGGTCTGTCGCATCAAGAAAAAGAAATCTCTCATTGATATTCTGGTGCTTATTTTCAGAATCTCATGCTTCCTATATTTAAATATGATAAGAATACTGGCTGAAGTTTTTACCTTTTCCTCTACTCATCTTTTATGAAAGTCTTCTAATGGAAGAGCTTACATATGTGACAACTGTCACATACCTGTTACAAGTAAAAAGGAGTGCCCCATTTAAAAAGGATTGATCCAGAAACTCACTAGTAGCTACTGGTGTTTCCTAGTTTTGTGTGCATGTTTCTTTTTAAGGTAAGCTGTAGTTCACTGGAAACATGCAATTGCTCTGGTCAGCTGGAAAAAACAGTTACATTTGAAGTCATTTCAGGTCATTTCAAGTCATTTCTGAGTGAGGGTTGATTTTTTTGGGAGGGGGGGAGAGAGTTTTTGGGGGGTTTTTTTTGCTTTTTTTTTTTAAGGTGATGCAATCATAGAAAAACATGTGAAATGATACATTAATATTTTATTTGTAAGAAGTAATACAGGCGCTAGAGCAATGACCTCAATTCATTTGCTTTTCTACCAGGTTATAATTCACTATTTACCTTCCTCCTTGTTTTCATACTCCGAGAGATCAGTTGTTGCTAATTTGGCTTCTGGGAATTCCTTTCTGTCCCCTCACGATGCATTGTATTAACACAGTAGTGGCTCTTGGCTTTAATTTTGAAGTCTGCATGCAAATGTGAGGAGGTTGAGCTTTGAGTCTGGTCCTTTTCTCTGTGGAAGAAATGGTGTTAGAGGCAGCTGCTCGTGTTCTTGATGGCTAGCTAGCAAGGGGAGCATGGATTTGGCTGCTAGGACCATATGTCATGATAGACTGCAAAGCAGTTTATTTATAATTTCCTGTATAGAAGAAATCGTGCGCTCAAAGCAACCCCCTAGACGGAAAAAGAGATGGACTATCCTGAATGCCGTAATGCAATCGTACTTCACATTACACTGGTCTATAGGTAATATTCCTGCACTTGGTTAATTTGAGATTGAAGAATAGAGAGGATACATGAAGAGCAGGGCTGCCCAATTGAAAATGTAGGACATGAATATAATTGGGGAGAGTATGTTAGAATTCAGTGAGTATTTCACAGGTTACAACTTGAAAGAGTTCATACCAAGAGCAAATTAGCATTGAAGTTCTAAGCTAGTTTTCAGATATCCACCTTGAGATATTCTAAAGGTCCCTTTTCTCCTCCTTTTAAAATAAGGTCAATGAACCCTTGAAACTTAATTAAAATTTAATTGATGAGCACTACTTGGCCACTGTCAAAACTTTGGTTGTTTGCCTATAACTTTTTAAAGATTTATCTGTTAAGAGCAAGCTTTGATAATCTGTATTAAAGTTTCCCTTTTTTCTTCTTCCCCAATTTAGAGTGACTTTTCCCATAGTGACTGCATGTCGAGTACCGAGGCCGGTTTGTTGGAACGAACCACAGCACCTCATGATGGATTACAGATGGCTTCCCACAGGCCTCAGCGAGAAGGTATGTTATCTGGACTTTCCTTTTTATTATTACTATTTTTTTTATTTTGAAAGTTAATCATGTTGGAGTTGTAGCAATCTTTCATCTGTCCAGATAAGAAACTGCAATGATGGCTAAGTGTAATAGCTTCTCTGCTACCTAGTTGTCTATTGTTGCAAGTTGTCACAAGTAGCTAACTGGTAATGGCTGTGTGCACTAAAGTTGATGGAAAATGCGCTTCCTCCTAAAAGAGAGATGGCATTTGAGAATTCAAGAAAGCTTAAGAGGACTGTATTAATGTTGTTTTGCTTTTTGAAAAAAAACTAAACCTGAAGATATGGTGAAGTAGTGAATGGCTTTTGCTGTTTGATTCAGTTGTGTGACTAGTCTTAAACACAAAAGAAAAATGTATTTTGGAGGTTCTACAGGATTGGAGCTTGGAGAAGTAGGAGGCTATCTGTAGAGAAATCAAGCAGTAAGTCATCTTTTGGCTCGGTTGGGGAGAATAAGGGCAAGTGGAACTGTTCTGTACAATTGTCAATAGTTTCTTCTCTTGGAAGAAATGAGCATTATTGAAAAGATATACTCTTTTGTTCTCCAACAAGATTAGCAAATCATTCTCCAGTCAAAATTAGCCTGTGCTGTTCTGCAGATAGTGAATAGCTGGCAGTTTGGAAAAACTGTTGGCTTTTCGTTTTTGTCTTAATAAACTTTCCTTTGTCTGTCTGCATAGGTTTAATTACACTTCCAAGGCAGGCAATTTTAGAGTTTTAATTCCTTGCAAAAATTACAGACAAAGATTGCGGCGGATTACAGACAACAAGCCAATTTCAAATGTCTTTACAGAATTTTAAGTGCAAAACGTTCGTATTCACCGATTAGAAACACAAAGGGAGACTATCGTTAACAAGGCCCTTGAATGATGTAAAAGAGGAACAGAAAAGTTGAGTAATTGAATGCAACAAAGTGCTTAAATATTACTCAGTATTTTTATTGCTATAATTAGAAACAACAGTGAAAGTTCTGAATGAATTTTTTGATATTTGCTATATAAATGCATGACAGAAAGGGAACCCTTGCTACAGAAAGCTCATCACTGGCTTAGAAATCTCTCTGATAAAACACATTTGTTATTCTCAGTTCTGATATATCTGGTTAGAAATAGCTCTGATTATAAGACACCTTTTGTTCTCAATTCTGATAAATCTGTGGTTTTTTTTTTTAATTCTTAACTGACAGTTTGGATGGAAACAGTGTTACTCATGTATGTGTGACTTAATCACACTGAATGTATGTGTTTGTCAAAATAGATTTAGAGGTGTAAGACTCCTTCCTGGCAGGCATATGAAAACATTTCTTTTTGGCCTGGCTGTTTAGAATGTTTAAAATTTGAATTAGGGAAAGAGTTTTAAAACAGCCTATTGAAGCTGGAAATAAGCTTGTGCAGCAACAACACTACAGTTTCCTGCTGTATTACTTTACTAAGCTCAAGTATTTAAATGCAAACAAAACAAAAAAGCTAAAGAGAAAACACTATTCTCAGTTGCAGTCATGGGAACCAAATTTTTATTAGCTTAAGAATATAAGCTGATTGGTATCCATTTTAACATTGTTAAGATACTTCAGTGAGCCAAAATTAGTGCCATGCCTCGCTCCTTTTTCTAACAGGGCATTTGTCTACACCAGACCTGTAGAAATTGAGGTCACTAAACATCTGATTTTTCAGGGTATACAAGTGTATCCTTTTACCTATTACCCTTGGCTCATCTCAGACTTCTTTGGTTATAGAATAATTAATCTTTTTAAGTCTTTTAACAATTGCTAAATGCAAACTGACTGCTTGGTTCTTTAACTCCCAGGTTAAGAGCTGCATACACCACTCCAGCTCCATATTTGTCACCCTTCCTACTAAAGGAATTGAGAGCTATAGTACTATGGTTGGACTTACATGTTTGCTTATTATTCCTTTAAGAAGGTAGTTAGTGCTTGTCTCTCATTGTTAGGACTGGTATGTTTACACACCTGGGGATTCTGTTTTTATACTTTAAACATTTTAAATGAATTATATGACTTAAGCTAGATAAAATGGAAATTAGCTAATCTGCAAGAATAAGTTTTTTAACAAGCAAACACAGAACACTGTACTTCTCCATATACCCCACGCAAAAGTGCAGTTAAATAGCCAGAGGAAAATGTGATGTGGTAAGACACTAGAAATACAAATAATGTTTCAAAAATATTGAAAAGAAGCATTGATGGTGTTGGGTTATAAAGAATTATTTTCAGTTAAAATAGTTTGCATTTCAAAATGGGTTACTGATTGTAAAGGAATACAATTCTACTGAATTCTTAGGGAAGGAATGGAAAAAAGTAAAAATCATCATGCAACTGAGATGAGGTTTTCACTAAGAATATTACCTGAAGAGTGTTTTGTCCCCAAAGAAAATCCTCAGACCCTGTGAAAGCCTTGCAGGGCCATTTCTTACAACTCACAGCCAGAATTTGTCCGTTCCTGAATGCTCCTTCCCATAGTCTGCTGTATTTAAGTACTTTGAGTACCTACCTTCCTTTCAGTTCAGTCTAAGAACTCTCTCTACTGTGTGTTGCAGTAACTTCCCAGGTCCTCCTTTTCTGTTTACGGATATTCACTTCTGTCTCCTTCAAGCCTTCCCCAACTATTACTGTCTTCCACCTTGGTGCCTTTCAAAAATCTAGTTCTCTGTCATAGTTGCCCTCACTACTGCTTGGTGTTTCACAAGCATGGAGATGGAAGGCACTGTCACTGGCTTTTTTGAGCATTTGTTACTTCTTGGAATAGAGGCACAATTTAACTTTGTTTGATTGTCTTCTTTCTTGTAGCAATTACAAGGCCTGTTGTTGTATGTATGTGACGTTAGGCCCAAGTAGGCTCTTGGGTAACGCTCAGATTCTCATCATTTGCAATGAAGCAGTTGTAGTCAGGCCAGAGAAGTGCTTGGAGAAAGTGGCTCCCCCTGCCCCCTGCAGTTTGTTACAGTAAAATAGCAGCTGAGGAAGAGTGGGGTTGTGAGAGTCAGTAAATAGCATATGGTGATTCTCAGAGTAGATAGGTAAAGGGATGAAGTTTCAATATGCAATTCTAGTATAAACTGTAAACTGTTTTTCTTTTAGCTGTGCACATTGAGAAGATAACCCTGAAAGGAGTGCCAAGAAAAAGGGCTGACAAACACTTGGAATACACATTCAAAGTAAGCAAATAACCATCAAAATTGTAAATGTCTTCATGATTTCTGTGAATTGCAAAGGTAGATGTGATTTGTTTTTTTAATGCCTGCTCAGAAGATGTGATTTTTAATTGCAATTTTTAGTTGCATTAGTCTCTTCAGAGACTCTTGAAGTTATTGTATGCTTCTCTTGGATTCCTCCTTTTGCATGCAGAGCAGGAGTTTTCTGCTCTTGGGGGCATAAGTTGGGGAGGTAAAAAGCACCAGCTGCAGCCAGGTATTTGAAAATACTTGAGGAAGTTTTGCTTTTGTTGTTTTGAGGCAGGCATTATAAGGAATTCTAGTTACATTCCTAAAGTGGCCAAGAGTGCAGGTCATGTGCCTGTAGGTATGTACTGCTGCTCAGGGTCATATGGCTATCGGGATCTTTCAGGATTGTTTGCCACAAGGAGCACTCTTGTGATTTTTGACAAAGGCGCGATTTTTTTTTTTTTAAGAAAAATGAAACAACATACTTTAAATAAACCCCACAAATTTGAAGGCCTACCTGATACATTCTTTATACCTGATAATACCTAAAAGGCAACTCATAATTACCTCAGTGTGTTTTAAACAAATCTGAAACACTGCTTACTATTAGTTTGGAAAAGAAGCTTTTAAGTATGTTGAGGTCTGGTATTAAACATTGTAAATCTTAAATAATAGCTGCCAAAGCTGTTGGCAGCAATGCTCTGAGTCAAAATAGTAATTTTCTTAGCAAGGACTGACTAACCTTATGAGTCATTTGGCAACTAGATACAAGAGCCTGGTAATATACCTTGGACCTAGAGTTAAATCTCACCATTGTCTCCTTTATGTATGAAACATGGTAGCTGGCTGCTTGCAGTGGCTCCTGGGAGTTCTTTGGGGATGCAGGCTAAATACACTATTTTAAGATGAAGATGGGTCTGTTGATCCTGGAGCTTGATATTTTATCCTCTAAGTGGGTGTAGATTGCAGAATCCTGTATTTTGTGGTGTTAGGAGAAGCTTGAAATCAGACTTGAATTGATATTTCTACTATTTCTAAAGTATAGCAGTGCTAGCTGTTTTTTTATGATCATGCCTTAATTTGAAATTTATTTTAAATTCTTCACTTTTTTTTTTTCACCAGAGGAGAATAATGTAGAATTTAGTCTTGAAAGTCTTAAAAGTTAAATCACCTAAACCTTTGAACTTTACTATAGATTCTGTTGCCTAGTATACTTGCTATAAGCAAACTTGCTGTAGTAAACTTGCTATAAGATAAGAAGCAGTAGCGGATAAGAGAGGTTTGTCCAGAATGCCCATATGGTTTGTTAATATTTAAATAAAATCACAAAACTATTTTGAGAAGCTAGCATGTAGATGGACTTGACAGTGGTTTTAAATTTCTTTATTAAAGGGGGAATGTTAGGAGATATTTTGGGAAGCATTTGAGTAAACTTGAAACTCTTCCACATTAGTTCCTTTGGGAAAGAGTTTCCTTTTTTCCTCTGTGTGGCTTTCTCTAAGCACCGCCTTTTTAAAGTTGCAACAGCAGTTAAAATCATAGCTTCCCATCTCAGGTCACTAAGAGTAGCAGCTAATAGGCATTTCTGGGGTCTAAATTGAAGGCAGTTGGTGGTTAATGTTATCCTATCAGCTCCTTAGAGTAAATGAATGTTTATAAATTGCCATGTCCACTTACATTAGGCAGGATTTTCCCATGCATGTAATGGGAATCTTAAGCTCGGAGGTGGGCTTAAAGCCAGGCAGTGCTCCTCTAGCCAAGCTTACATCTTTGCTTTCCTGGAAATATGCACATGAAGGTGCTGTTTTACTACTAGCATGCTATGTCAGAACAATAAGCTATTGAAATGCGGATGCAAGAATATAACAAAATGTTTATTCTCGAGTAGTTCCTTAAGTAAATTGCAGCTCTGCAGAAAATATTTTATAGATAATATAAACAAAAAGAGATTTTTGAGCTATGATATTGATGTGCAGAACTATCCAGTATATACAACCTTCAGTCCTTTGCCCTGATGCCTGGATTTTGGAGATAACAATGTCTGTTTGATACAAGTAACTGTGCAGGCTCTTCCCTGTGTTTTGGAGTCACTAAGCAGTCATCAGGAACTTAACTGCATTCATCTGATTTTTACCCTGATATACTTATCCACAGATATCATTAAAATTATGATCTTAAAATGTATATTCAAAATCAGTGCATGTCTTTGAACATGTGCAACATGATTCTGGTTTTGTCCAGTATTTGTTTTGCTGCATGTGTTGCTTATTATACTGATGTGATCAGAATGATAGGATTATTAAAATCCACTAACTAGTATGATCTGAGGGGAAAAAAAGTGTAATTTTCCTTATTCTCTTCTCTTTCCATATCAGGTAACCTGGTCTGACCTTTCTGTAACATGTGTAACAAAGACACACCAGGAGCTTCAGGAATTCCTGCTCAAAGTATGTATTGCAGTATAAAAGTAGTGGTATATGCCAGACTTAGGATTTTAGAAGTAATAGAGGAGGATTGTGATTGCTGGAATGTAATTGCAGGAACAAAAGCGTGCTGTTAGAGTTTTGTACTTCAAATTTGCATTGAATGTTTGCATCATGTACATTATGGTATTGAATTGCAGAATATGCTTAGCAGCTTGACAGGTGAAGCTCAGTAGAAGATTTGTGGTGTTTGCCAGCAGCAGAAGCATCACTTGAAGGAATCTGCCCATGTTGAGATAGCTTTTGAATCTCTCTAGGGAAGGAGACTACCTCTCTGGGCAACCCGTTCCAGTGCTCAATCACCCTCTGCTCAGCCAGAAATTGCTGTGTTTCAGTGTGTGCCCATTGCTTCTGGTCCTGGGCACTGCTGGGAAGGATCTGTTTCCATCCTCTTTATACTGTCTCTTTAGGTACTTAAACACCATGTTAAGATTCCCCCTTCGTCAGGCTTCTCTTCTAGGCTGAACAGGCCTCTCAGCCTTTCCTCATATGAGAGATGCTCCAGGCACTTCATCCTAGTGACCCTTTGCAGGAGCTGCTTGTCCCTCTTGTGCTGGGCAGCCTGGAAGTGGACACAGCTCTCTGGACGTGGCCTCCCCAGGGTTCAGCAGAGGGGAAGGGTCACCCCCTTCACCTGTTGGCCGTGCTCTTCCTAGCGCAGCCTGTTGACCTTGCTGACCACAGGGGCCTCTTGCTGGCTCCTGGCTAACGTGCTATGTGCTGAGAGTCCCAGCTCCTTCTCAGCAGAGCTGCTCTCCAGCAGGTCACTCGCAGCCTGTCCTGGTGCAAGGGGCTGTTCCTCCCCAGGGGCAAGGTCCTGCTCCTGCCTGTGTTGAAGCTCATGAGGTTCCCGTTCATCCCTCTCTCCAGCCTGTCCAGGTCGCTGTGAACGGCAGCGCAGCCCTCGGGTGCATGAGCTGCTCCTCTCCGTCTTGTATCGTCTGCAGACCTGGCAAGGGGACTCTGTCCCTTCACCCAGGCCACTGAAGGACAAGTCACCCAGTCCTGAGCCCTTGTGTTTGGGCTGTGTTGCTTGTTGTCAGACCTCACTGAGACTTTGTGCCCCTAATCACAACCCTCTGAGCTCTGCCATTTAGCCAGTTTTCAGTCCTCCTGAGCTGGCCCATGGGGATGTTATGGGTGTCAAACCTTACTGAAATCCAGATAGACCACAGGCCCTGGCTGTCAGCATGGTGTTCCTGCCCTAGGAATGCCTGCTGACTGCTCCTGATCACCTTCATGTCTTCAGAAGATAGACTGATATTAAAAAGTCACAATAAATTTTCACCAGAAGTTCAGTGTAAACAGTAGCTAGACTCAGTGTTGCCTACTTGAAGTCTTCTATATTTTTGAACTTGAAATAGTCTCCTTTCTACTCCTGTTTCTGTGAAATAACTTAGTTTAATTATGTGATGTGGTGAGTGATGAGTCGCAGTGTACACGGTCAGTTTTTTTCTTAGTAAGTTTTGCGTTAGTTTCAGGCTTGCTTTATTTTTGTGAAAATTCTACAGAAATACGTTAAAAAAGTGTGAATAACTGAAAAAGAATATGATGTTGGTCAGTTTTTGCTTTTAATTATTTTAAGTGGTTTTTTAAAGCTTCATACGTCTGAATTTGATTCAAGGATTTACTGCAAGATGTTAATTTAGCAAAACTGATTTATGATTATTTGTTGTGCCTTAATGTGTAAATTGTCTTATTCTAACTGGAATGGTATCAAAAAACACTCTGTGGAAAGATAAAAAGATTGATGAACAAAGATATTCTGAATATGAAAAATGAGCAGTTGACCTTTTTTTAACCTGTTTTCTCAGCTTCCAAAAGAACTGTCTTCTGAAGCATTTGACAAGACTATTTTAAGAGCACTAAACCAGGGTTTTCAGAAGAGGGAAGAAAGAAGGCATGCTGATCTCGAGCCCATAGTCAGGTAAATATTGTAGCAAACTACTTGAAACATATCACCTGAATAGTGATCAAACTAGTTGACTTTAGGGACAGTGGAAATTCTGCCATGTGGACACACTTCATGAGGGAAACTGGAAGGCAATGTTGAAATAGATATTTAAAACACTTACTAAAATGGAGAATCTGATATTGAAATTGAGGGGTGTGAACTCATTAAAAGATATCATACAGTCATGAAAATGTTTGTCCTGTGTCAGCATTATATGAAAATGACTTGAGCAAAGGTCCCACATGCATTGCACAAGGGAGTTATATTTTATAACTAAGTATCTCCAACAGTTTCTGTTCTTATTTTAAGGCAGGATAGAATGAGTGACACAACATAATTTGGAAAAGATTGAACATTCATGAAAAAACATGTATATAGAATTAAATGCACTTCAGAGTTGCAAGCAAATAGCAGGGAAATTGTAACCTGTTACCTAGTGGTTAGGACATGTGCTGGGTTGTAGGACAAGTAGGTCAAACCCTCTTAAGTCAGAGCAATAGGAAAGATCTGGGTGTGCCTTGTTTGTTTATTGTGAGCATCTTCTGTTAGGTTCTTTCTCTTTTGTCAGGGTTGCTTAACCTTGTTCTAAAACATTTGAATTACTGATCAGCTTAAGGAGAGTGTCTCTTGAGGTAGGGCACATATTAAAGTAACCAAAAACTGCTTTTCACACTGAGTGCTGGAGGCATTTGGACTGAACCTTCTCAGGTTTGGGGATTTTGTTCCTGCCTCCCAATTTGCTTTTATTTTGACCAGTAATGCTGGTTCCTTATTGGCGTGATTGTTGAGCAAAACAACAGGTCTGTGCAAATAGTTTGACTGATAAACATTCAGTTCTTAAACTGTTTAAATACAGATTGATTGAGTTCATTTCTGTAACAAAAGATGACTGTAAAGCCTCACTGCAGAATAATTGCAAACCAAAGTGGTTCATTGGGAGTCTTCTACACCTCTCCAGTCATGTTATAATACTAAACTATAACTTATGCTTTACAAACTCTATTGTGACTATCCTGGAATGCTATGTGAATACATAGCAAACCTTTTGATAATAACCTTACTGTATTTTTTTTTCCTCAGAATGTCAATTCAGGGTAGATTTGTATTTATTTTAGGGTCTTAACTACAGGCCTCACTACCAAAATTGCGCCTCCACACCCCCAAATATAGGAGGGCTGTTCTTACTGACAAGCAAAACCTGAAAACTTGGTAGGGACTTTAAGATCATTCATTTCTGGCCTGTTTTCTTACTTGAGGCTGATACGAATTGTCACTGACCTTTTGAATAGATTCAGACCAGAAAAAAAATGGAGAATCCTGCCCTTTGTTCTTAAAACTCCAAAGGTCCAATGATTTTTTGTAGTCCATACTCCTCTTTGTTAACATGTCTTATATGCTTAAAATATTCAAACTGGGATTGTCCAAAATTTTAATTAAAAACAAAACTTTTATCATGTTAATCTCTTGTATTGACTGTGTAGTACAACACTGCACTAGCTCTGAACAACTCGGCATTTGCCACTGTGTGTACCGAATGTGGAGATTCAAATGTTCAAACTCTATTGGAAGTATATATTTTATTCCTAAATGGTGCTGTTCTTGTTAATGGTAATATTTTTGTCATTCACACAGAATATTACTTAACGTGTAACAAACTACGTTTAATTTCAGGCAGCTATTTTCAAATACATCACAAGCTTTTCTGCGGAATCAGAGAGTGTACAACTTCTTCCAATCAATTTCATCAGAATCTTTGCATACTCACAGTAAGAATTGTCTTAATATTATTTATATAACAAAGATATTCTCTAAAAGCTGTTCTTTCTGCCGTGTCTTATTATGTTTACTTGTGTTACTTTTATCTTTATTCACATTACCTTGTTTTCTACTGGTCCCATGTGAACTCTAGAAGGGGCAGTGAGTAATTGCTTCAGCAGTAGATAGCCATGCTTTTCGCGGTGGGAGCATCGCCTTGGGCTGTTCTTTCTTCTTCTCTCTGCTATCATGCTGTTAAAATAGGTAATAATGAGTTGAGTGTGTGCAGATCTCTAAATGGCTCAGGTTTCCCTGACCTGACTACCATTTCACCAGGTGGGCTGGTGGTATTGAGAAGGTGAATCTGAAGCCATATATTCTTGAGTATTTAAAAATCATCAGTTAAAAGGGCAAAACATTAAAAGAAATGTAGGTTTTCCTTCATGCTTTTTGTATTCAACCTACTGCTGCTGTTCTGAATCCTGTGAAAATGATTGATGTTGCTGTTGTAAACTTTGGAACAAAAACCTTGAGATGATCCCAAAAAATCACGTCCCTTTTTCATTTGGCTTCCTTTATGGATAAATGTTTGCCTTGGTACTTAAATTAACATTGGTTTGGGTACACAGTACAGAAATGGGAACCGTGCCTGCAGAGCGCACCGAGTCTTGTTCAGAGTTTTGTTCCTGTAGTGTGTTTCCTTGGTGTGCCTGTTGCTTGTGTATTATAAATTGCTTGTGCAGCCTAGGCATGGCTTTCTTGTAAGGATGTGTTGGATTGCAACCTCTACTTCCGATGAAATTTTTCTTCTTTCACTGCTTGTTATATGACAATAGCTAAGAGACCAGCTGGGACTGTTGTCTTCAAAGTAGTTAAGTCAGAGGTTTTGGCTTTGTGTTTTGGCTAAGTCAGGGGTTTCAAACAGACTGCTTATAAGCGTGTGGCAGAAAACAGAGACATTAATTTGATATATTTGTGATAAATATGCTTGTTTGCTTTCTGTGATTAGGTGAAGGTCTTGTGACTAGTGGAGAAGCTGTAGAAGTCATCTTGGGATTTTTGGTAACATTTAGGACCTTCTTGTATGACAGTTCAATGAGCAAGATAACCCAGCGAGGGCCAGAATGAGTGTGAAACTGGTAGGAATTTACTACTGTGCAAACTTTTGGCTAGCCTGTTACAGTGGAAGGCTGCATGATGAGGGAAAAGGTTCCAAAGTCCAGGAAGGCTCACACTAATGAACATGGCAGTCACAAAGGGTAGGTGTATTTTAATCCGTATACTATGTCTAATCAGGAAGAAGTTGCAAATGCGTTGATATACATGATTATAATAGCAAACAACTTTGACAAGTTGGAGAAATGGTCTGAAAAAAGAACCAGTGTGGGATTCTGTGGCAATAGACTCAACTGCACTCGTGCAAAGCAGAGCATCTGCAGGCTGGGGAGCATAGAAGAGAAGGTTTAATACAGAGCAATTCCTCAAGGAAAAACATAATAGTGGGATCGTGAATGGGAGGTAATTTGTGGAATGTATGATGTCCTTCTTCTGTGTTGGTGAAACTGTGGTTGCAGGTTTTTTTGGCAGTTTCGGATACACCCAAGTAAGGATTTGCCAGATCTCAAATGTCTGCAAAAGAAGAAAGGATGAGGAGCTTAGTGGTTTAAGCAGAGAGCGGAGAAAACTGCTAGAAGATAACTCAAGTCTGCAAACATCTCAGAGCCAGAATGGGAATGTTGTGCCTGGACGGCAGGGAGAGCATTGGGCCTCGCTTGCTGTGCGGAAGATTTGGGTGTCGGAGCAGTAATGGAGAGCGAGCCCCTCGGCCATGGGAGCTGAGGGAGATGAGGAGCATGTGGGGCCGGCCCTCATGGAGAGGGCACAGACCCCCCAGCGCCCCGGCGAGAAGTGCGGAGCGGGACCGGGGCAGCACGAGCGGGCACCAAATGGGTCTGCAGTGATGAGGCAGGTCCGGGCTCAGACCAGCGGGGTGATGAGTAGCGAGGCCTTAGGTGTCAGTGACAGGTGCCTCGGGCACGGGCCCCAGATTAAACAGCTCCCCAGCCCACAGGTGGGAGCCCGGGATGAGGCCCTGAGGTTACCTTGAGGTTACCAAACTGCCCCAGCTCGGAGCCTGGCCTTGAGCACAGGCAGGTGGAGCTGTGGGAGGGCAGAGGAAGAAACTGCAGAGCCCAGAACTGTGTTCAGGCCCTGACATTGGGCTGGATGTTAAGCACTTGTTTGGAGAGGACAATTAAATAGTGTAATAAACTTAAGCATGTTTGCTTTTCCCTTGAAAAGGGGAACTGGATGACCTGCCGGAGATAGCTCATCAGGTTTTCTATGGTGCAGGCTGTACTAAAGGAAAAAAATAGTCACACTGTCCTTTGCCAAAGTCACCATAATTGAACAACTGTTGTGTGTATGTATATATTATTATTAATGGTTTCATATTTGGTATTTCTGAAACCTTATTTTACAGCATGGTTTAACACTTAAAATTGCAACTTGACTTTTTTGAAAACGGTCAAAATAGTGGGGAGGAGTGTATCTGAAGAAACTGATCTTTTTTTCCTAATTGGGTGTTTAAATCTAACCGACAAACAAAACAGTTGTGGCCTAGATTGGTCTTGATTGGTCACTGTTAGAGTTAAAATGTGTATGTTCGCAGAAGCAGGTACATATTCACTCCTTCGGAAGTATGTGACTGCTTTAGGTATGATTTTAGTAAAAATGACATGGAAATTAGTTTTCTATTCTCTGTAGTAACTATTCAGTGAAGGGCATTTCTACCTGAAATGATGGTTGGACTCTCATGCTGAATAATATATTGAGTAAGCATAGTTATGTATGCTGCCATGGTTCTAGTAAGCAGAAAATCAATTAGCTCACCTTCAATTTGTCATGTTTTGTTTTAGACAAAACTTGAGGCTGGAGCTCACTCTTGGTTCCAGTGAACTCTCCTAAAGCGTGGTCTGTGGGTGCTTGATGTGGTGAACGTGGGCAATATTCAGGAGCAGCTTCCTGTCACCATTTCAAGCTTCTGAAGGGCAGCTTTCAAATGCTTTTACCTCTACTGAATGGGAATGCTTCAAAGTAGACTCCTAGAGTTAGATTCATTACTGAACTTAGCCCTGTTCTAAGGCACGGCTGTGGTATTCTTGCAACAGGGCTATAAATGTTACCTTTGTTTCTTTTCCCAGCCCTTCTAGCAAAAAAATGGCAAAAAAAAGTCTGCATCAAAGCTGTGTTTGCGTGACTAGAAAACTTTAGCCCCAATTTAGTCTCCTTTGACGGTTGAATGATTTAATGATAGGGGAGTATAAGTTGTCACAGAAAATTTTCTTGTGTAATCAGTCTCCTTCCATTTCCTGTCATAGCACAAAAAGACTCTGAAAAATCTCCAGGACAACGTAATAAGAATATTTCTAATATTGTAAGCATGGTCACAGGCTTTTAAAATTGCAGCATAGCTTTATTTTTTACATGCTCTTTTCTTCAAAATGTAAGTATCTCTATAGAGCCTGTACTCCCGGAGATGGTCTACATTGAAGGAGATGATGTTCCAATTATTGGCACGTAACAAAACCAGTGCCTTCAGTCTTGCATTTCCCTAGCTCCCAGTTTAGTGCAGGCATTCAGGAACTGTGCAGCTGTTCAAGATCTATAAAGTTACTACGTGAACTTTATTCTCTGCAGGTAACTTACAACCCTCTTTGAAGACGGTTAAGGCACCAGAACACTTCAAGGAGGACAGTTCAGAAGCTTCAAGTCAGGAGGAAGGTAGTTGTGTAACCAAAGGTGGTGGCTCTCTGAGGAATTTTACCACTCAGTTCTGGAAACCATGCAGTTGACTGATTTATTTTTTGGGACAAAGCAGAGAATCTTGAATTTTGTTTGAATGAAATGGGCCATGGGACTGAACAATTTTTATGTACTTTCAGAGGTGTTTTTTAGGGGATAGCTCTCTAAGGGAGGGGGTGGTTGGTGGAGACCCTCAAAGTGTTGAGCAGCCAGGAAGGCAAGCTTTACTATTTACTTAAGCCAAAACCATGCTTGCAACTTGCAAAGCATTTTTGATATCTCCACCTAATCCTCAATTCTGAGGCTGCAAGTTAGGTGCAGCATTTCCAGAGTTGCAGTCAGTTTTGCATTAAACGTGTTGAACTTGCCTCGCTTCAGTTGCACACTGAAAGGACGGTCACGTCGTCTTCCTCATAGTCTTAACCTTTGCTTTCCTTGGTGCTCTGACTAGTTATTAAAACTTCTTACTGTTGGGGACCGCAGGAAATGTTGGTTGCAGTCTAAAAGCTGATGTTTTCCAATCACCTTGAAAACATGTAGAAGCAGCAGCCTAATGGATGGTCACTAATTTTATTCTGAAAGGAATGTCAAGCCGGTTTTGCAATGTTTTCAGTGGCAAAGAGGGCATGAGTTTGTAACAGGTGGGAAGGATGAGAAATGGGGCTGATGCATCAACACAGACCACTGGGCCCTTGCATTCACTTTCACAGAGTGACACCACTGTTAGGCTTTGACACAGAAGTAACTAAGAGGCTTCAGAAGATCTTATGTGCAATGAATAAACCAGCTTTAGCTATTATTATTTTAAAGAATTGAGTGGCAGTGTTTGCATGGATCTTGTATCTTGATTGAGGCCGTGACTCTTTCATGTTTCTCATGATGTGTAATTTGTGAAACTGGAGGTTCAGAGAGCAGCACTTCTGTGTGAGACTTACCTTCATTTGTTAGTTCAGAACTTTCTCAGTGACAGTTTTTTCAGGTAGATTTTGGTTATTTCAGAAAAACAAATATGGAATTCTTTGCTTTTTTTTAAACTGAATTCACCTATCCTCTCCCCTTCTCCTTTCGATGACGCTTATTGGGAATGTGCAATCACAGAGTTAGTCCTTTGAATGAGATATAGTGGTAAACAAGTGTAGAGCGTTGTTTTGGTTCCTGTTTTTTCGTTCATTCTTGTGAGAAACTGAGGGCAAAGTCTTGGTTCTGCTGTCTGTATGAACTGATTCTATGATCTACACAACACCTGCTAATTTCAGCAATGACAATTATGCCCAGTATTTTTAATGGTTATATCTTTCATTAAGTATCTTAATGATGGAAAGCTGAAGTTGCTGTGTTGATCGTAAAGAGGATTAATAAGAATTGCTGGTAGAATTACTTCATTATTTTTTTTTCTCTCAGATGTAATACAACACCCAACAGTCCATAAGAAACATAATGGAAAAAGTCCTGTTGCCAAGTAAGTACTGGGATTTAATGTGGCCATGCTAGATTTGCAAACATCATTTATTAATGCTTCAGGAGTATATGTTTCCTTCTAGCTAATAACTTGTTGGTGATTTATTTCAATTAATCTGTATTAAATAGGTCTCTCTAACACGGAGAAAGTCAGTGTTCTAAAGAACCTACAGTAGCAGGGAGTGTCATTTAGTATCTCTTGAATGTATGCGCACACACACACGTGCAAACAAGCACATGCTGGTTTGTCAAGTCAAGAGCAGTTCATCTCAAATGACGTTGCTGCATTTTAGGGAAATGTGTATGCTACATCTGCCTGCCTTCTGTTTTTATTCAGTAGGGTCAGCCTTACACTTGAAAGGGTCTGGAGACTTGCTTGTAGGCAGGAGCCCGAATGTGTGAAATAGGCTTAGAAAGGGTCTAGTTTACGTGAAATGACTGCAAATTTGGCAGCAGATTCGTTTATCGTCATTTGGTAGAAGTTTCCACAGTGACCTTGCTCATGTTAGTGCAGTCATGGACTTCCGTGTGTCTCTATTTAGACCTTGGGTTCTCAACATTTACTTAAACTATTTTTGAATATTCTTTCACGCCTCTTGAACACTTATTTTGAGTGGTATTTCTCAAGTAGTTGCTGGAACTTCAACGTGTTGTCATCTCTGAAGTGAGCTACATTTCTGCCATCGTGGGAACTGAATAACATCTCCTGCTGCGGTTTCATTCCTGTAGCTTGACCAGTCCTGAAATAAAAGGCACTTTAAAAGCAGAATTTCAATATTAGTATTTTCATGTAGATTTGAAAAACACCTCTTTCTTGTAGCTTTGTCACCAGCAGGGCACATTGTTGAATTATAGATGTGCCCTTCTGTTTTATGTACCCAACTGACCTGTCAATTTTTTTTATATACCAGTGCACGCACTCACTTACAAATCGTTTCTGACTGACTGCTACTAAGAGAAGCTTTGGTGGAAGGCATTGTAAGGCCCAAAGTAAATGCCAAATGTGACTTTCTTTTTCCCAGCATTTTCTAGAACTAAATTCTGGAATAATGGTTACAAAATAATTGCAGCTTTATTATTCATATTGAGGAAAAAAAAAAAAAAAAAAGAAAAGAAATTTCAGAATATGTTTCTATTTGGAAAACTTCTCAAAATCAGATGTGAGGGAAAAAAAAAAAAGCAAACAAAAATGCTTTTGTGTAGAAATAACCATGGAAGCTTTTCTCGCAAGTGCTATATAACATTCTGGATTTTGTGTCAAAGTATAGTGGGCAAATGAAAAAGGAAGCCCAAGTGCTTCAGGTCATTACTATAACCTCACTGTACAAGCGCTCTTGTAATTTATATCCTTAAAATCTGTTAACACTAAATGCTTTCTTTTTCCTGAAAGCGCACATCTCAGTTCCCAGCATGATGTCAAAATGTGTACAATGACACAAAGGGCCTGCAACTTTGTTACTTTGTTCACCTTTTCGTATCTTTTTTTTTTTTTTCTTTCAGCAGCACTAGCAGTGCAAAATGTTCGTCACTGGATAGCCTTAACATACAGCACTCGGAGCAAAATGGGGTAATAGACTGGAGAAGAAAAAGCTGTATTGTCCAGCAGCATCCAGAGCACTGTACCAACCTACTTGACCAGGTGTGGGGCTGTTTTTCTGTTTAAAGCAGTATTCTGAAACACTGAATGGAGAAGACTATTACGTATCACTGCAACAAAAGTTTAAGAGCAGTACTGAAAGTGCACAAATAAGTGTCCAGGTTCAGATTTAGAATGGTTCTCATAATTACCCAAGTCATTTTGTTATCTATTACCAGCAGAATTTTGGGAAGCCTGAGGAATTTTCGTGTAATTGTAAGCAACAAACTATAAACAATACTAATAACTAAACTGCATTAATGCTGTGGTAGAGTCAGCCAGTTAAATGTGTGCATTCTCTCTTACCTGCGTTATACAAGTAATTTAAATGTTAATCTTCACAGGAAAAGGTTGTCAGTCAGATACGCACATGTTCTGTGACTTTTTAGTCTCTTCTATAGTTAATTTTCGTATGAGTGTAGTCAATGAGAACATAGTCAACCAGAGAAATAAAAGCAACTACCGAAGTTAAGAGGAGAAAGGTTGTTATTGTGATATGTGAAAAACCTGGCCTGTGGTCATTGCTCAGTACTGCTTCTGTTCTACATACGGAATTTAGTTATTGATTTTTTTATATGGGATATGGCAAGCCAAACAAAGATAGATTCTTCATTTTACAAAGTAGGGCAGTCAACTGAGATGTGTTCCGTGAGAAGAGGTGGTAGACTGCATCAAAGCAGAAAATATGCAAGCTTGAGGCAAGAAAATTTGAGTGTATTAGAGCAGAGGAGGAACTACTTCCCATTTAAATAACGTGCGGGTAGAGCATAGCCAGAGACTACTTCTGAGTGATCTTAGCTTTTACTCCATTGCCAAGTAGGAGATATTAGTAGCAGCTAGTAATAGTATTTAAAGAATAATGCGGATACTGTATTTCTTTCTAATACACTTCTAGGTGGTATTCTACAAACTTCAGTTTAGCAGCAAGCTCCAGTTCAAGGCTGGGTACCTGCTTTGTCACTATGTGAGCAACGTGAAAATAATTTGCCGCATGTCCTTTTTTTCCTCTCAAGCATTAAATAATTCCACTTAAATCAATAAATTCAGTAGACATAAGCCTTGTGATTAACCAGACAACTTCTTTTCAAGGAAGGAGTTGTTAGGGGGTACTTGATGAACTGCATTTGTTTCATCCTCAGCAGGAAAAGACCCGTAACTTACTCCCAGCATCCAAACTGTGATTTGTTTCGAATCTTCTGCATACTTCTAAGTAGTTATTTGCAGTGTCTTTTGCTGATAGTGTCCTAAATACCAGACAAGATGCATGATTCTAAAGGTCTGAATGCATTGTACAAGTAGATGCTTGTATGGTTATAGCACTGTGAGTGCATTAGTCATGGATTCATGGATGTTTAAGTCTAGAAGTTCTTTTGTATTTTTTGATGCAAGGTTTGCCGTCTAACTGGGTATCTCTGTATTTTCTGTCTAGCATACAGGGGAAAAACGAGGCCTGTCTACAGTGGGCAAGAAGAAAGGAAAGCCACAGCTGGAAAAGTAGGTTTCCAATGAAACTGGCAGTCTAGGAACAAAGTATAGTGCATTCAGTCTAGTAAACACTGTGTGCAGTGCATCGACTGCTTTGGTTAGCTACTGTAGGACAAGACCTATTGTGCAGCTAGTCTACATAAAAATGGTTATTTTATCATTTGAAAAGGAGTAACATTTTAAAAAACAATCAGAATGTAACTGTGGGCAGCCATTTCTCAATGTTAGTTACCATTTAGCAAAAACAAGAAACAGAAGTCTATTGCTAGGAGAGGAGATACTGAATTGCCTTTTTGCCTTTTTTTTTTTCTTCCCCTTTATCTGAAAGTTAAAAGCTGTAAAGCTGCCCGGGGGGGGGGGGGGAAGGGTAAACTGCAACCTTTATCATTACTCAGTGAGTGCCAGCTTACTGAAATAGTTTATTAAACATGCTTGCAGATCAGAAGAGAGAGCTTGGGAATTTCCTATGGTCATAATGATCCTGCCTGTAAAGAAGTGAAACCACTTGCATGGTTGCCTATTCTGTCTAGTTCCAAGCTGATTTCTTTTCTCTTTTTCTTCGGTTGCTCTTGTTGCTCTGTAGCCTATAGAGTTCTGTAGCTTTTTCACAGACCCAGCCTATGGCTCAGTTGCATTCGTGAGTTTTCAGAAAGAACTTTAGGGCCAGTGGCACCTTTTATTTTTCTTAGCCATTTTCTTTTAGTTCTTTATTCAAAGCACTTAGTAACATTGGTGCATTTTAATTCCTGCTGTGTTGCACTGTTAGCCTTTACCTATTTTTTATCATTTACATTTATGTCTAATTTATATATATACACACCTATGGGGGTCTATTTTATATATATATAAAAGTCCTTGTCCTTGTTTACAATGGCATTGTATTTTCCTGTATTTCTGCTTATTTTGCCCACATTCTAATAAAATATATGAAAAATTATTTGCACAGGGAGAAAACCAAGAAAACTGACTGTCGGTTGAATAACAGGGCTAATGGAGTTCGAGTTGCAGCATCGCAGCACATCCGCACGGGGACAGCGAAAGGTAAGACAGGGCCCAGGCGTTCGTAAGAAACAGAGCTGCTCACCGGCTCGTTCATTTGTTCAGCAGTAAAGGAGAAACTGCAGCTCTGCAGGCTGGGTGTGAGTCAGCGTGCTGGCCATCCACTCTGTGCTGGGACGTGTGGGTTAGAACATACTGGACGTTTTGTCTTCCGTAGGCGACTGCTTAGGCTATGTCTCCTCTCATGCATAATTGGAAACATCTCAGTAAACCCGTGGGAAGTTGTCATACGTGAGGGGGCAGTTGCCTAAGTAGTCAATGTTGGGCTGCTAGTGTTCTGCCAGTTGCAGCCTTGCCTCTGCTATGCTTAGGTCTCACTGAAGGCAGTCGAGAAGGCATTTGCTCTCCTCTATACTGCCCGACTGGGTGAATGTTGAAAGCACTCTTAGGACCTTAAACCTTGGCTTGTTCCTACCTCTGCTTGAAGTGTACTCTTTACCAAGCTTTCATTCTTCCTTCTCCCAACTTCTCAGAAACTTTAAGAATTCATGGTTCAAAAATTTGACAAAAGTAGGGCAGTTCTAGGAAGTTTTCGTTAAGATCTGTGCGAGCGGAAGCCAACTTGTAGGAGAGCCTGGCAGTGTACATATCTGAAGTACTCCTATGCTTGTTGTCCAGCAAAGCTTAATCAGCTTCCATGGGGTAACATAACTTGAGGAAGATGAGCAGTTTTCTATGGTGTAGTGCTCAAACGGAACAGGAAGGCTCTAATCCACCCCCTAACCACACATGCTGTACAGATGCAAGCCTGCCTGCCTGGTGATATTGGTTAGTTATGGCCACTTTGAGAAGGAACCGTAACCCACAGAGGATGGAAGGAATTAAGTCCTCCTCAGAGATGTGTTTTCCATTTAGTATTTGTGTACACACATCAGAATGTCTTCTGATATTTCCCATTGAAGATGCAGTCTTTAAAGAAAAAAAAAAACAGGTTGCAGTTTGAATCTCTGCCTCACTTTGTAGTGAGACATGATATGAAATGTTCTATTCTGAGTCAGTACTTCTTAACTACATGTTTTCTTTCACTTTTTCTGCCTATTTTTTTCTGAGTCATCAGTTACCCTTGTAATTTTGAAGACTTGATGCTTTGTGACTAGCACTTTTGGATCCTGTTTTCAGTGGTTTGAAGCGGATGTTGCTGTTCTAGGTCGAACTGGATATTCAAAAATACCAGCTAGAATAGTTTGACCAAGAGAAGGCAGCCATTTAACCATTTACCCCAACCTGATATACTTGCTATTGTGTTCTGCTTTCGTTAGAGCTTTTTACCAACCAAGATTGTGGGTTTGGGAGGTGGAAATGGGGACATCTTGGTTATTGATGCTGCCTTGAAGCTGGCCTCTGTTGTGCTCTGTGAGGGGTGCTTCCCTCCTGCTTCTCACCTCTGAGGCTGAAATTCAAAGTCCAGTTCAGTGGCCAGAACATTGTAGCTTAACTTTTTCACTAATGGCATCTAAACCCACCCTGTAATCAGATTTCTGGCAAATGAGCTTCCCATGATCCCATTTAGAGTTCAAAAAGTAGGTAATTTTACACTGTTGCCTTTCACCTCCCTTAAACAGGTTTTGTTGGTTCTGTTTCCTTAAACCCTGCTCTGGAAGAGTTCATTGTGAAAAGGCATGTTGCTTTGATCTTGGTTGCTGAGTTAGCTTTGCAGTCTTTGCTTGTGCGATAAAGGAGTACTCCATCCCTTCCAACATAGAGATTTGATTCAGGACAGCCAGAGGAAGTTGGTGTTGCAGTGTGATTCACTATAAGATCCATAAAAACTATTAAGGATGGTTATCATTGTTCAGACTGCTGTGCAAAAATGTGATTTGTGCATAAAATTTAACTTTAACAAAGGATTTAGTCATTACAGGTAAAGGGATAAACTTGTGCTGCATGTGGGGAGTTAACACATAAGAGATGCAGAGGAAAAGATACGGTTAAGTAGAAAGCCACATTAGCAGCCAACCAAAGTAGCATGATATGAGGAAACCAAAAGAACCTCACTTCTGTATTACCGGGATTAAAAATAAAAATGCCAATTTTTATTTTTAGATCTGAATTTGGACACTGGATCTGGTCATGACACATGTGGAGAAACATCATCTGAAAGTTACAGTTCTCCTTCTAGCCCACGACATGATGGGAGGGAAAGCTTTGAGAGTGAAGAAGAAAAAGACAGAGGTTGGATTTGTGGAGAGCGTGCATGAAGTTTTGCTTTATTACCTTGGCTATTCTCTCCTTCTCTGTTTAGTTTCTCAGTTTTATTAGCTATTTTTGTTTTATTTCTGAACTAGTCGCAGGCCCTTTTTCTTTGTGGATTTCATGGCTAGACTGTCTGAAGACTTTTCAGCAAATAGCAGGAAGGTGTTTAAACAGGCAGTTTTAGATTAACAGACGTGTGTATGTGTGTGTGTCATGCAAGGCATCTATGTTGTCTACTTTGGCAGTGTAGATCTCTTGAAAAACTTGAGAAATGTGATGAATAGAAGAACTTGGACCTCCAAGGGGCTTGTTTTATACCGAGTTATGCTTGGCAGGTCTGAGATATCTCTTTTTTATTGTTTTGTTTGTTTGTTTATTTTTTGTCTTGACTGTTGTGTTTCCCCTCCTTCAGAATTTGAATGAACTGTATTCATGTCTTTCTAAGTAGATGGGAGTTTCTGTGTGTTTCTGTGTGTCCTACTGTTCACATGTGCAGATGTACACAAACCAAGGGCACACTGCCTAAGTTGTGTGGGTTGATATAGGCACGTGATGATTTGGATGAATGGAAAAGATCTTACATTTATTCTGGTTTGGGATGATATCATTTCACTTTTGTGTATGGATAAATGGGTCCCGAGAAAGGCAAAACGCAGTTCCCGGTTCAAGCTTCTGCCTCTCACAAGCGCTTGTTTCCCTGCAGATACAGACAGCAATTCCGATGACTCTGGGAATCAAAATGCAAACAGGTTTACAGGCTACAGTGCTGTCAGCTCAGCAAACATGAGCAAGCCACCCGCTCAGATGCCTCCGGCGAGCAGCGAGAACGGCAGCCTTCCCGAGGACGCTTTGAGCGCCAAGTTTCCCCACATTTCCTTCATGCCCGCCTTACACTGTGTGATGCACAGCGCTGCGCAGAAGGCGGAGGCCGCGGGCGCGCCGCCCCTCGCCGCCGACGGCAAGGCCGTGGGCATGCTGGTGACGGCGCCGCTGGCCGTCGCCCCCGCCGCGGAGCCCGCCAGCTCCCCGCCGGCCGCGCTGGGCCCCATGGCCTCCGGCGACGCCGAGAAGCGCCTCGAGCTGATGGCTTCCCCTTTGCCGGTCCCGTCCACTTTCCTCCCGCATTCTGTGCAGCCTGGCAGCCCGGCTTTGCACTTGGCAATACACAGATTGAAAATGCCCTCTCCGCAGGGATCATCAGAAAGCTGCACAGTTAACGGACCACAGCAGCCGACAGGAAGCTTGAGTATCGGATCACCAAATACTGCCTTTATCCCAGTCCACAGTCCAGGTAGTTTTCCAGGATCCCCAGTTCCTACTACAGATCCCATCACCAAACCTGCATCCCAGGTGGTAGGACTGAATCAAATGGTGCCTCACATTGAGGGAAACCCAGGAGCAATCCCTCAGCCTACCAATCTAAAGGTAGTTCTTCCAGCGGCCAGTCTCTCCACAGCAGCACCGCCACCTCCACCAGCTTCGTACGCTCTGCCAGGCAGCCCTCACGCGAGCAGTGTCTTGCCCAACCAGAACACAAACGTGCTAAGCACTGTGGCAACGTCCTCCCCGCCTCAGTCAGCCGGCTTAGGCGTGGGTCAGGTGCAGTCCACTGTTCCTCCCGCCATCCCTACGCATACCCCCGGCCCTGCTCCTAGCCCGAGCCCCGCGCTGACACACAGCACTGCACAGAGCGACAGCACATCTTACATCAACGCTGTTGGGAACAACAACACTAACGGGACAATGTTACCTCCGCAGCAGTTGGGATCTGGTCCTTGTGGCTCTTGTGGACGTAGATGTAGCTGTGGGACCAATGGAAGCCTTCAGATTAATAGTTATTTTTATCATAACCCACTTCATGGACAAGTCTACCGAGTTCCATCTTTCTTCACTCTGCCATCCCTTTGCAATGGCAGCTACCTCAATCAAGCACATCAAAGCAATGGAACACAACTCCCTTTCTTCCTGCCTCAGTCTCCATATGCAAACGGGCTTATGCATGACCCGGTAATGGGGAGCCAAGCCAACTATGGTATGCAGCAGATGGCAGGATTTGGGAGGTTCTATCCCGTCTATCCAGCACCTAACGTAGTTGCCAACACAAATGGGTCAGGACCCAAGAAGAACGGGAACGTCTCCTGTTACAATTGTGGTGTAAGTGGACACTATGCGCAGGACTGTAAGCAGTCGTCCATGGAGGCCAGTCAACAAGGTAATCACGATAACGCCCTGCGGACTTGCTTTTGAGCGGAGCTCTTTCTCTTTACCTTGCTGAACGGGCTGGGTCTGTCCTTGCAGAGGGGCGTGCGTGTGTCTTGGGCGCGGGGCTGGGCCTTAGTGACCTGCTCTGCAGCTGCAGAGGGTCTTAGTTCTCTGCCTGGGGGCTTGGTAGAGGGGCGCGAGGGAACAGGGTTCACGAGTGTGGAGTTGAAAATGGGCATGGCACAGGGCTGGAAGCCAAACTGCATCAATTCAAAACTGTTGTTCTTTTCACCTGCTTGGTTTTGGCAGTATGTTGAGACTTGCACGGTGTTTCAATTCCTACATTCCTATTCACTCTTGTTGGGATTTTTTTCCTTTTCTTTTTAGGTAGAATTCATTGGCAAAAGCTATAGAAAATACAGATTATTGTGTATGATATTAACTTGGCTTTTTAAAACTTGTGAAAATTCAGGAAATGAGCTAAGTGTTTGATAACGTAACTTAGAATTCTGCGGCCTGCCCTTGCGCAGCCGGCCATCCTGCTGCAGCCCGTCACGGGATACCTAGATGGGAGACGCTTCGGCTTGGCAGACACGTAGCAGCCAAAAGACAAAACCCAGTTGGAACCAACAACTGAAGGGCTGGCTTCAGTCTCGTGTGCCACCACTTGCTCTGTGCACGGGAATGGAGAAAATGCAGAGTTCACGCAGAACCTAAATTGTTTCTTAGTCTTGGCCCGTGCCCATTCTGACTCCACTCGTTTTGTCAAGAGTGGAACAAGACAGATGAGCCTTGATGGGCCCTTTTTTTCTTTGCATTTTTCCAGCAAAGGTAGAAATCTATGCCGACTGTTTAATATTTTGTAAAAGCTGCCAGTTTTAGCAGGATTAGAGAAAATAGGATGCAATCTTAGGAAGGGCCGTTATGGGAAGGCAGTGCCTTTGAGGAGCATGCCCGCTTTGCTGCCGCCGGGGGGTTTTGGGCTGCGCTGGCCTGGCGAGCAGTGACTTAGCAGTTCTCTTTCCTGTTTTAGGCACTTACAGACTGAGATACGCACCTCCCCCTCCCCCTTCCAGTGACACCCTGGATTCTGCAGACTGAAACAAGTAAACCTTGCCTACTTAAATTGAAGCTTGGGGGGAGCTGGGGGGCCGGCGGGGCGGGCGGCGGGGCGGGTGCTCTCATGGTTTGGGGACGTTCCCGGTTTTGCATTCTTTTGGAGTTTTTCATTGCTTTTGCACCTCTGTTCAATACAAAAGAAGAAAGCCGAGGCCGCGGGCTCCTGCTGGCCCTCCACGAGGCTTGCGTGATGCATGTAATTCCACCTCCCAGGCAAACAATCCGAGCGAGCGTTTGAACCATGCTTTTGCACTGAAGACTTGAGACATGTGCAATGTTTACTGCGTTTTAAAACAGTCCTCTGACCTCTGACATCACTGGCGGAGCAGCCATACGGTGAAAGAAGAAACCTGGTCGTGTTCCCCGCAATCTTGGTTCCCTCCCTCCCCATTCTCCTTATGCTGCTGTCTTCTTTTCTTTCCCGTCTGTCCACGTGGGTTCTGTTGGACTTGCATGAGTGTTTAGTGGTTCAGACAGCCCACGCCCGTGCTCTGAACGGCTGCTCCTGAACGGAGGGGCGCTCTTGGGAGGGCGCCATACGGGGCGCGCGATCCGGCTCGCGAGGGGCCCGAGCAAGCGGAGACGCCTGGAGCAGGAGGGCGCTGAAACGGTGCGGACTGCAACAGGCTCCGGAAAGCCAACAAGCTTCAATTGACAGATTTTCCTTCCATTGTAGCTTTTTAGCCTGTATGTTCAGCAACAAAGGTGAAAAAAAATGGTATGAATGTTGTACTCAGTGTGTTTGCATTTGTAATGGAAGTTGATGGCATTTTTTTCCTTTTTTAAAGCTATTCTACATCATGTCAACACAGAATGAGCGTTACTTGATGGAATATTTTTTTCCTAAACTATTACAGTGTTGCATTGTACTTAGAATGTAAATGTTTTATTTCAAACTGAACAAAAGCTATGGTTTTCTACAGAATAGTCAGGTATTAGTATTAGAACCTGTCTACCAAATAGCAAAGTCACTATTTTATAACAATTTACCACTATGCGTAATTACGGTATAATGTGAAAGACTGAACTGAGTGTTAAGATGGTATTAATCATGTCAGTATCATGAGTAAGTAAGTTTAATGCTGCTGTATTTTTTATTTTATTTTTGAAAGCCAATATATGTACTAAATTGCTTCCAGGTAATATTTGATTTCCTAAAGTGCACTGAGGTTATCTGGAAGATGAGTGTATTTTTTGACTGCTGCATTCAACACCGATGAACAACTACCACTGTATATCCATAGGGTTTGGCATTCCTCACAGTTCATGGCAGAAACGTTTCCTTAATGTAAGACCTGGCGTCCAGGAGAGGGATGAAATGAAATCAGTCTTTGGTTCAGCCGTCTAATAAATTGCTAAACGAACAAAAAAAAAAAAGAAAAAAACTTGAAGAAAAATAATAAAAAAAAAGCTTGATTACTACATTTCTTCATAGGTAGCATTTATATTTATAGCACCAGTGTACATTTTGAAACTTTTTTCTTGGAGGGGGGAATGGGGAGGGAGGTAGATGAAAGCTTTAATTTAAAGAAGTTTAAGTAGTAAATGAAAATTATTTTGATTAAAATTTTTATTTGATCTGGGTATTTTTGGACCACTTGAAATGAATGAACTGCGTTTGAGTTGAAGTGAGGGTGTTAAACCACCAATGGACTTGTATTGTGAATTACCTGCCAGTTGTACTTTATGGAACTTATTTTATGATTTAAAATACTGTACTGTAAATAGGAGGTATGTTACCTTCTCTTTATTTGTATGTTTACCATATACTTTGATATTTGAAATGTACTGGAAAGGTCACTTATATTTCTAGAAGAGATTGGATTTTATGCAACCTTTTTTCCTTGAATTAACAGCAATAAAAAAAGAAAAAAAAAAAAAAAAAAAAGTACCTGTGTGTAAGCCCTGTCCTTTGTCAGAGAGCAAGGCGAGGAAGGCCAGGCCGTGCCCTCTGCCTGCCACTGGGGCTGTGGGCAGCCCTGGTGGGCAGCTGTTGTGTAGACAAAGCTGGGACTAAGTGTTGAGCTTGAGGTGAGGTCAGCCTTGTAGCTGCAGCTGGGCCCGGCCCCCCAGTGAGACCTCTTGCGAGGGGATGGGTGCCGCTCTGGAGGAGGAGGCGGCCCTGGTGTGGTGGGCCTGGGCGTTGGCGCCGCGCTCGCGCAGCGCCGGAGCTGAGGGCACCCGGGCGCTCCGGCTCTTGGAGCTCGTGGTTGTGCTCGGGAGAAGGTGCGTGTCCGGCCACCAAGCTGCAGGGCCGGACCCTTATTGCTTGCGCTGAGGAGCACAGGGCAGGAGGAAGTGCTGGGACTAGGGAGCAGCTCTGGAATGTGCGGATCAGCAGCCGAAGGATTTGATGCACAGGTGGAGAGCTGGGCGGCAGTGAGAAGCAAAGCGTGTCACCTTGCGTTCCCTCTCCTCTCTGCTCAGGGTCCAGGTCCTAGTGCTGAGCAGCAGCCTATCTGCACAGCTGGGGAGCACAGACCATCTCAGATCCTCATCCCAGCCTACCACCTACTCCCTGAGCAACCAACTAGCATTAGGAGAGGGCTCAGAGTCCCCCATGAGCCAACGTTTTTTCCCTTCATCGTGGGCAACTTGCTATTCAGCCCAGGCCTCAGGCTAACGTGAGTCCTGGCTTCCCTGGAGCGCAAACTGCCCACGCAAAGGGGAATCTGCTCCTTGCTGTGCACCTGCTCGGAGGTGCTGGTGACTGCAGAACCTGGCCTGCTAGCAGGGTCTGTGTGTGCTACGAGTGCTGCTCGCTCGACTAGATGTTGGCTGGAAGTGCTCCTGGTTTGTGGAAGTGGCCACTGCAGCTGAGGGTGAGGGAGCTCGTCCCACCAGGGGCCTCAGGGAACTGGTGATGGCCTAATGCTCAGCTCCCGACTTAGGCCCTGCACGCTGTGCGAGTAGCTCGCAGCTCCTAACTAGGGCTGCCAGTGATAGTCCCAGTTAATGCAAGGCGTGGATCCTGCTTGGGCTGATGAGGAGCAAGCGGGGGTGTCTGGCAAGCTGGGTGCAGCCTCTTGCTTTGTGAAGCCCTCCTGCCTCGCTCCTGCAGCGAGCGCGAGTTGCTGTCCTGCTAGTTTCTCCTCGGGCTCAAGGAATGTCTCCATTACATGGATCAGGCTCCGGGTACTAAACTGCAGTCCTGTGCTCTGCTAATAGAGAAGGAAGAAAATTATTATTATTATTAATAATAATAATAATAATAATAATAATAATAATAATGAGAGCTAATTCTTGGAAGTGTTTTGCCTGCAAGTGAACTTAATGGAATCTATCCTAAACTCATCTTCACAATAGGTGGCAGCAAAACTCTGCCGGCCGAATACACTGTAGTTTCTGACACCGCCGTGTGCTTCAGTTTAATTTGCTCCTAGCGTTTGCTTGCCGTTGCAGTGAGCTTATTTGGGGAGGTGTTCTTTGACTCTTTATTTCTGCAGCGCTTGTTTTGGTACGATTTTCTCAGGCTGGTAGATTTTCTAGCACAAGGAGCCTACTCAGAAAATAAGCGTGTTAAATGCTTTTCTCTGAAGTCTTAAATACCAGAGCTATGACAGACCATGTCTTATAATGAAGATTGAAGTCTTAGAGAGTTGCAGCCAAATGTTAAAGCCATGTCCCAAGAACTGCAGGGAATTAGGTTATTCCTACGAGATTTTTGTATTCGTAGAGGAATGCTTTCTGACATTCACGTAGCTTCCCTGTGATCTAGAATAATTCCTGGAGGAATCTGGTTATCCCTCCAGATAATTTCTCTTATTTGTGTCTCAGTAAATAAAAGCTCTGAAGGTCCACAACAGAGTATGTAACATCGGATTTTATCTTTAGCTGGATGCTTCATGCTCAGGAACGTGTTGTCCAGGAGATGCACCGGGACAGAGTTGTTCTCTCTTATATCAATGCATCCTCCCTGACTGGTGGAAGGGTCGTGTTGTGTGACTGTGTCAATAAAACACCGTATAAAAGCATAAGCTGAAAAAACGTTGGATTTGGTAACGTATTAGAAAAACTTTATCTTAATGCTGCAGTAAATAAGATATTGTTGGTACCTTCACTTTAGAACTCTTTGCTTTAAAATGGTGGTGTTTTATTGACTTCTAAGACACATTTTTTTTCTGAGATAGAGGATGTTGATAGCTGGTAGAGTTGAGTAGTAATTAATAAAATGCTGGTTGGCACGATGATGGAGTGTTCTGCATTAAAAATGTATTTACCATTTAAGCTTGGTTTTAAAATACTGGCTAAGGACTTAGAAAAAATAATATTAAAGTACTATTTACATTAACAATATATAATTTACATTATAATGATTTATTTTGCAATCCTTGTAAATTGGAAGTTAAACCACACTGTTTTCAGCAAATCAGATCTGTTTTGACTGAAGCTAAGCTTTGAAACTGATGGCATGTCTAGCTAGTCAGTATAAAATATGACAGGAATTGTGCTGCTAGACAAAAATCTTTTTCTTGTTTTTGAGTTTTTTACAGGGTGTGCACATGCCGCAGTGAAATTGCGGAGTTTATCAGCAGCAAGACTTCTGGATGAAAACGTCATGGAACTTATTTTAGTTGCTTCCCAAAGACCAGATGGACTCAGAGATGCATACTGATGATGATTTCTAGGTATTTCCAACTGCACGTATAAACCAGCAAATCCTGGCCTCTGTCAGCATATCAAATAAAAAATCTCAAATGAAAATATCAGTAATGTGTGAGAAAGGGAAAGCCAAAGCAGCAATCAAAATACTAACAAGCATTGAGGTACATGTGAGATGAGGCAGCTTTCACATTTCATTTGGGTTTTTTTTAATTTTATTTTTTTTACCTCAGCTGATACTCAGTTCATAGCAAAGAACTTCAAAAAGCAGTTGCATCAATTTGATTTGAAAACAACAGAATTCTGCATTTAATCAGTTTTGCTAACACACCAGTTGACTGTATCAAATATATATTAGAATCTTATAGGAGTGACTGGCACTTCTTGCAACTTGACATAAGTCTAATTTATATGGACTTAGAATAGATGGCAGTAATACATGTAAAATCTTATGGAGTTTGTAATTCATAAACCTGTATAGAGCTGTGAGCTATACACCCTTTAGAGCATAGGCTCTTTTTGATTTGCTTTCTATTTTTGGAAGTTAGTCTTTTTTTCATTCTTTTTTTTTTAAACCTTGAGCGTTGATTATCCTTTAAAACTTTTTTCACATACTTATTAGAAGCATAAATATGATGGAGGGCAATTTGAAGTGTTTTAATCCTTGGTATATAAAACCTCCAAATAATAATGTTGAAGACTTGCTAATCTGAAATGAGCTAACCCATACAAGGGAGTAACTATTTCTGCTGCAGAGTGGCAGCATCTATCTAAAGATAGCTAAATAAGAAACACGACTTAAGATAGCTCTTCTACTTCAAAGCCATCACATTTTTCTTCCTTTTAAGTAAGGATATTTTGTTTTGAGAAAGTTCTTAGGTGGAGGAGGCAAAGAATGTGACATTAATTTAGAGGTGGACAGCAGAAGAAGAAAGCAGTGCTGGCCAGATGGGTTGAGGGCACATGAGATAGGACTGGTAAGGCTGTCACGCTTCCAAAATGTGCACCTCGTTGTGGGGAGCAGCTACTGTGACACTTGACATGATCTTCTACCTGTCCAAGTAACAGACTGGACTTCAGTCCAATGGAAGTCAAGATTTCTGACTTCATTTTCATGAATCTACCTGTTAATCGTGTAGGAGAACACTGCAGAGCTCGTGTTGCCACCCATTGCCAGCAGGTTGCCAGGGTGGCACAGCCAGAGTGGCTGTATGGGCACTTGGCCATGGCCAGATGCAGACCGAGAGACTGGCAGGAGGCGGCAGTGCTTTCCTGATGAGCACTGTGCGTTCCTAGGGCAAGGAACAGCTGCCACGAGGCTGGCACGGGGTTTTGAAGAAATACGATCCTGAGGTTCAATTTCTGAAGTTTTTTCAGGCACCTGAGTGACCTGTGCTTTCATTTGCGCCACGAGCCCCATCGGTCCTCGGAAGGACGGCAGGAGCAGCAGGTACTTAGCACTGGAAGGTTAGTTTCCTTCAGCCGTGGCCACTCAGTGGCTTTCAGGTTAGAGGTGACCCTTGCTCCAGCTCTGACCCACACACCCGGCCCCCTCGAGCAGGGCCATGGACCCTGTGGGTCGGCGGCAGTGAAATGCCTTATGCCTCCAGCTGAACAGCTTCAAATGGGCTTGATTTGTGTGTGGCTGCAGATGTGTCACGTTGGAAGTAATGGCAGCAACTTGGATTGGGGGATCCGGGCGGTACTGGGAGGTCCGAAAACTGCCCCGGGATTTGGCGTCGGTCTGTGTTGCAGAATCTTTGTTTCCCAACTGTTAAATCACTTGTGCTTTTTTTTTTTTTTTTTTTTTTTTTCTCATTTTTAAAAGCAAGAACATTCCTAGTAAGTAGTCGTCTCACGGACAAGCACGACAGGGGCTAGGACAGCGGGTCAGGCCGGCTTGACCCTTGCAGATGTCTCCAGAGTGTGAGTACCTAGAAAGTTTCATCGGTTATTTGGGCTCTTGACGTGTTTATTCAAAACTCGTGGTAACTGGCTTGAAGTTTCATCTTTAAGATCGCCAGTGCGCATCTTTAACCAGCTCATTTTGGCCAGCTTTAGACCCCTTTCATACTGAAAATATTTCAGGCTTACTCCGGCCAAAGGGAGGGCTCTGTGAAGCCTCCTCTTTGCTCTCTTCCTC